GCGGAGGAATCTTTGAATCTTTTTGCGGAGGCAACTGGCAGTAATGTATCTGCCAGATACGTGCTATTATGCAAAGCGATTTTACGGCCTCAGATTGAATTCCAATACTTCATTTTGAATGTCTCCAGCTGCAAGCTCAACTTCGGCTAAGATTGCCAGTCGCAGATGGAAATTGACAATCAATTATGCTCCATATAATCTAACTTCCATAATTGAGTCATGGAAATTACAATCCATTTTGGAGCCCAGGGTTACGAAACTGTCCACCTGCCCAGCTTGCGGTGCCCAATTTACCCAATCGAAAGATGAAGTGATGATTGCAGACTCCTCCTTCTTCCCTGTAGTTCGCCCTGAGACATGGCTCCTGTGGAATCTGAGCTGCCTGCTCCCAGTGCCCAAGTCTTTCAGCCAGAACCACGGCAAACTCAAACAAATGAGTTCAAATCAATCAGAAACTCAAACAGAAACCGCCGGATTGCACTACCAAATGAAATTAGCAGAGTTCTGAGTCACGAGTGAATCACGAGGTGCTTCCGCCTGACCGACTTCTATTGGACTTTCGGAGTTCTGTTGGAGTTGCGGAGCAAACATTTGCATACAGCGCTCCGCAGGATGGAGCAAATTGGCGGAGCACCAGGCGGCGGAGCAGGAACCTCCACTGCAATGTTCAAAATGGCGGCACATTAATTTGTGCCAAGCTCAGCAGGAGCGGCCGGGCAAATGGAAATGGAGGGGATCGGGCCCAGATTGCCAATTAATTTTCATGATTTTCACGTTGTCGACTCCGGGCCCCAGTGTGAGTGGGGCCGAAGATGTGCACAAGTCGGCAGTTTTGCGGCTGAGCCGGAGTCCAAGTTGGATTCGGAGCCACCTTTCCCGGCTGCCATTTCGCCTCCAGTTTCTTTGGGTCGTAAACCCACTTTGCCGCCGCGTGGAGGAGGCACGTTAATCAAAATGAAAGGCTTTAGTTACGTGAGTGTGCACACACGACCCGCCTCCTCCTCTCGGGCGCCCAAGTGCTGCTCCTGCGTCTTGTTCGTGTGCCAATTGCATTAGCCGAATTGTACTTCACTTTAAATGTAATGAGATAGGAATTTTTATAGCTGACCATGGCTGGGAGCGTCCCACTTTGCAGTCCAACTTTTCGCCAGCACTTGCCAGCAGTTGTAAGCAAAATGCCTGCCAGCCGGCCAGTCCATTGACCCATCCCGAAGGCATGGGAGCAGTTGCAGCAGGAGAGGATTAGGCCCGGGTATCACACATGCTGTTGCTGTTGGTCACGTCGATAGGAAACTGCTACGTTGTTCGTCCGGCTCCTTATTACTTTATCGATCGCCAAGGAACTTTAGAGGGTATCTCCGTGTCGAAGCATGTTTTCCCTGGTTCTACCCGCTCACCGCCCGCCAAGAAACTTTAAGGCCTCCGTGCCACACACACGAGACCAAACTGACTCGAGTTTGCGAACACACTACGTATCTGTGGCATAAACTGGGAATTGGATCGTTGGGCTTATGGGTACCCCGTTTTCTTTACGGCATTGCTAAGGCAGTTGAGAAAATTCATGAAATTGCCGCTCGGAAATGGCTTTTATTTTCCTGCTGCTTGTTGGCCGAAACTTTGAGCCAAAAGTGTTTTGGGATCAGATACGGCTGTGATAGGTGCACGGCGGCACTTTATCCTGCCAACATATCCTCGCCCCGCCGCAGAAGTTGTGGCTCATGAATTTCGCATTGGACGTTTCAATTTTGGTCAAGTGGGCCGGGCCATCAGCAAGCAGTTAGCAGCCAATTAGCTCACGTCGCAGCCAAACTCTTTTCGGGTCAAAGGTCGCCGCAAACCGCTTCGACTGGAGAATCGCACAGCCGTTTTCGAACACCTTGCCCAATTCGGTCGCTCGTATCCAGTTTCGCTGTGCACTTGCTCATTAGAATAATGAGAAATTAAATTGCAAATTTAATGACACGCTCATCACGAAGCTCGCAGGGCAACAGAAACGACCTGGGCGAAAACTAATTAAAATGAAACGAACGTAACATGAGCTGGGCCAGAAACAAAACAGACCACAGGGCATGGGTCAGGGGGCAGAGGGAAGAGGGCAGAGGGCAGAGGTCAAGGGGGCTGGCTGGGCTTGGGCGTGGTCTGCGGCTGACCACGGGTGCGTCGCATGATCTGTGACCATTCGAAAGTGTGGCAGGGTATGTTGCTGTGGTGGCCTCCAATGCACTTCAAAGCAATTAATTTGCAATAAAAGCATTTTTAATGTCCCCGCCCGTCCGTCCGTCTGTGTGTGTGTGTGTGTGTGCGTCTATGTGCCGCTTGATGACGCAAGTGTGGCTCGGCTTGGCCGCAGACGGCCACCAACATAGCCAGCCGGCTCAACGCCCCACCTCCCCAGGGCTTTCCAATTCAAAATCGATTATTGCGTATACGCCGCATGGGCCGCTGCCTCTGCCTCTGCGGAGCATGGGCTGAAGCTCAAGGAACAAGCTGCAGCGGTCTCAGCACCACACTCGCAACAATATCACCAAATCGCACAGTAAGTTGCCCAGATGTATGCAATAATACGTGGCCAGGCCGGAGCAGTCGAGTGGCTTCGGGGAAACTCTGTGCCAGATGCCAGATGCCACATGCCAGAATGCAGCAAGCACCCAAAGTTGCATCCTTTCTGCAGCTAGTTAGTTGCATGGCTTACCGCCTTGCCACTGCCAGCAGCGGTGCAGCTGAAATTGCTGTCATGGCATTGTCAGCGCAACTTGGTTGGTTGGTTGGCCGGGCGAACGTGTCCAGCTTTTCGGGGTTGCGGATGGCACGAACCGGGTCACGTAGCGTGCTCCTCGGAGGAGACTCCTGTCGCCGGCGGCATCCTGTCCAGCTGTCATATGCCGGGCCATTGTCACGCAGTCCGCAGGCAGTCAGTCTCCCGGGAGCCCCTCCCTTGGGGTCCGTCTAAAAATATCAACAAAATCGAAGCTTGTCACGCGTCTTCTGCGCTTTGGGCCTCCCTTGCCCGCCTGTCTCTGCCCTGTCTACCCTTTTATTTGATCGATTTTTGGGCCTACACACATTTTCGTGCCACGCCCATCGCCACCCCCTGCTCTTTGCCCTTTTTCGACAACAGTTGTCATAATAATGTTATGTGATTCTCCCCTCCGCCCTTCGCCCTTCGCCCTCCCGAGTGGCCGACCTTGAAAGTCACTCTTTTTTATTGATTCATTTTTAAGTTAATTAAAAGGGCATCCAAGTCGGGGAGGTTGAGCCGCGTAATTGTCATAATCCAGTGGCAAGGAGCAGCCAAGTGGAGCCAACAGTCAAAGCCCATTTTGTGGCATTTGTCATTCGAGTAAACCATCAATAGAAGAGGCAAAGACAATGGAAATATATATTCAATGCCATTTTTATGGGCTGGAAAGAGTGGCTTGTTTTGTATTGTATTCCGCTGCTGAGTTCCGCTGCACTAACGCCGCACTTTCGAAATCAATTAAAAGGGAGGTCCGCCACTGGCTGACTATTTGTTCTATGTCCACCCGCGGAGCTGAGCAAACAGCACTTAATTCCAGCTTTTTTAGCCAGATGCGGCTAAACCTCAGGTAATCCACATCCCCGCCTCCAGCTGCTGACTAATTTTCGGTGTCGCACGGGCAGAGTTTTGAAATTTCCGTGTGGGCGGACGAGTGGGAGCAGTTTCGTGTCCGGCAATTATGGCACATCCTCCACCGTACGAGTTCCGGCGAATTCTCCGCTCCCGACGGGCTAGTTGCTGTTTGCCCTTTGTCCTTTTCCCTAGGCACGTTCCCACTCCCATTCCCGTCCAGCCATTCCGGCTTGTCGCCTGCGTAGCTCAAATATTTGTTGATAATCTGCAATAGCTGCGCACTGCATCTGCATATCCGCAGCTGTATCTGTAACTGTATCTGTAACTGTATCTGTATCTGTATCTGTACCTCCGAACTCTGACCCAATTGCCCTTTTTACTGAAGCTGCCCCGTTGTTGTGTGCATGTTGCTGTTTGTAATGCAATCAACATGAAAATAATTAATACAATTAAAAGTAAACAATTCGCTGCTGTTTGTCCTGCCGCCCAGTTCCTGCCAGTTTCTGGGTGCGGGTATGCTTTCGATTTTAATTAAACTGGCAAAGTGGGTGCACTGCAGCCTCGCATCAGATGCCTGCATACTTTCATGCGCAATTTGCTTAAATCGAATTACCAGCGGCATTCCCAATTGAGTTTGCGGACAGGACTTTGCACCCAGCACGGCCATCAGCACACGGACGTGGAGCGCAGTGACCTGGTCTGTCCGTGAGCACGGAAATGAAAACTCGATTAGCAGGCAGCGCGTAATTGGAGTGGCCTCCTTTCCTCCTTTTCTCAATCGATCCGGAGCTAGATACTTCTGAGCAAACCTGGCCTCTCGTTTCTTTCGGGGCTCTGGCAGAATACCTCTCCTTATCGGCAACCTCCCAGATCGGTATCTGTGCATGGCCGAGTGGTAGCTACAACCCAAGCTCCACGTCCAGCAAATCCACCTGCTAATTAGAAGCAGCAGCAGACGAGACGACGGCGGTCAGCAAAGTGTGGAAAAGCTGGAGAGGCTGGACGGAGTGGGTGGATCGCTCCTAATTGCAATGGAGTGGAGACGGGAGTCTCCATCGGGCCGACTGGTTTGTGGTGTGGGCCCAACGGGACACGCGACGCGAATCGGCCAGGCTTGACCACGACCGCGACCATGGGCATTCAATCATGGACTTCCAGTCCTCATTTGCATTCCCTGACTTTCTACTCTCGCATCCAAGTGTGCATTTAATCCAATGATATTTTCTTGGGCCCCGTTTTCTGCAATCCCAAATTTCACTGGCAAACAAGCGGCACGAGGATCAACAAACCCATGCAAATCGACCAGTAACTTTCAGTATTTTCCACTTGCAACCAAACCATGTTAAACCCCCCGTTAGCAAACCACTTGGAACAAACATAGAGTTAAGAAAATAGGACTTGAACTCACCCTTGAGCAGATGCTGCAAGATATTGTCCTTGTGCTCCTCGGAGTGCGGCTCCCCCAGCACGATGAGGAGGTAGCAGCCGGTGAGCGGACTGGGCGGTCCCACAATGCCGCCGGCCAGGCTGGAGGGGGCTCCTCCGTCGGCGTCCGAGCAGGCCGTGTCCAGGGGCGCCCGGCCACCAATCTCGGAGGGGGGCAGCGAGCTGGCCCCGGCATCGGTGGCTCCATCGTCGCCGGCATCCCCAGCATCCGCGGGCTCTCCGTGCTGCGCCTGGCCTGGTTCCTGGGCCGCGTCCTGGGCAGGCCCAACTCCGGCTCCTTTGGCCAGTGCGTCCTGGTTGGTGGTGGCCATCACGGCGTCGCCTTCAGGAAGTGGGCCAGCTGCTCCTCCGGTCGCGGTTGTCGTTGCCTTTGGCTGATCTGCCATCACAGTTGCTGCAGTGGTGGCTGTTGTTGTTCTTGGTTTGGGCACACACAAAAAAAACTGGTTCGCACACTCGAAAAAAAAGAGGGTATAGTCTGGGTTCTGAGTTCTGAGTTCTCTTGTTAACCAACCGACACTGGCGCTTCAGTTTTCCCGGCGCACGCAAGATTTCTCGGAAACGATGCGCTGCCAAATCGGAAAATTGCTGAAGGGGGCGGACTGCTCAGCCGCGGGGGTGGGCGTGGTCAGTGGAAACGCTTCACTTCGCAACTGCTGTTGCTTTTGCCGCTTGCAACTTGCTGCTTGTTGCTTGTGTTTCTGTTTCTGTTTGTGTTTGTTTGTTGTACTTTGTGTTTGCTGGCCGTGACTTTGGCGCAGTTTTGCTCGACTTTGCTTAATTGTTTTTCAGTTTTCGGTTTTGTTCAATAATAATTTGCCTTGCTTTTGGTTTGTCTTTTTTTGGTGTCTTTCTTTGGTTTTGGTTAATAACTTTTTACGTTGTTATTGTGCACACTTCGAAGCTGTGTTAGGTATTTGGTATTTAGCGTTTGTTTAATGGAAATTATTTCTTTTTACTTTTACGGGTTGGAGTAAAGTTGCGGCAATTGGCGTGTTCTCTTTGAAGTATTATTAGTTAAATATATATAGTATACATATATTTATATAGTGAAGATTTGGACTAGCGTTTACTGGTAGCAATTTACTTTATATTTGGTTTTTCTCTCTTTGGTTTTCCTTTAATTTCTTTATCGATAATTTTGGTTTTGCGATTTAAACATGAAAATTCGATTTTTGTTTTGCTCTTAAGTGTTCTTTGGTTTTTCTCGCGATTCCTCTGTTTGTTATCTCCTAACTTTCTTCGCGTTTGCCGTTCGACCCTTTTCGTCAATCGTCGGATCTGAAAGTAAGAGCAGAATCAGCCGGTTAGCCTGGGCATACGTGTACATGCGAACCCTCTACCCTCCACCCATCCATTCACACCGCACTATTCCCCACCGGGTGGAGCACCCGGTTCTCGCCACCCCAAGTTGCCCCCTTGGCTTCGTCCGATCCGCTGCCCGGTGGACCTGCCAGACAGCCGGCATCCGGGCGAGGAGTGGCTATAAAAAGACGGCCCTGCCTGCACAGACAGGAGGAGCAGGAGTGGAGCAGGAACTGGGGGCGGAGGACCGACAGCGCATAGAATCCATTGAACTTTGGCCGCCTTGCACAAAGTTGGCTTACTATAGGTCGAGCACGATGATTGGTCACTCCTGCAGGGCAAACGGCTATGAACGCTATCAACCATCAAGCCGCGAGGAACATTGATGGACAAGTGTTTGCCGCATGGGCCACGACCTTTCTGCTTCCCCACCAGCTCCATAGCAGCTTCGAACAACTTTTGTGGCCCCCAACTGCAGCCGAGAGAACTGTGGCCCCCTCACAAGGAACTGATCAACCCTTGCACCCTTGCATGTGAGCCGGGGGTAGTGGCAGTGAGGCAAAGATGTCGTCATCGCTCCATGGCAACGCTGACGACGTCGTCATCACGCCACCCCCTTGCTGTTTGGGCCGCTCCAGGCTGCAGGGGCGAGAACTATAAAAAGCAGCCAGCACGAACTCCTTTCTCGTACGTCTGTCTGCCGCCATGTGTATGGGAGCCGCCCGGCTGGCGCAATCCTGCAGGTTCTCCCCCAGAAACTGCAGTTGGTCGCGTGCCCGTGGCCAAAAGCGACGCGCTCCATTGCGCCGGAGTTGCACGAAGTGGCGTATGCGAGGCCCGCGATGATTCATCGCACTCTTTTTGGTTATTTTTGAATTTTGCGTTCTTGGAGCTGCCGGCACTTCACACATGGAGGGTGAGATCGGGCTGGGCCTTCGTCCTCGGCGTTCCCTGCCCGGCGGCCAAGTGCGGAACTGCTGGATGAGGCGGCTATTTCGGTAGCAGCTCCTTTGATCGCAGCCCAGGCCGGCGGCACCGGAATAATCGATGCAACTCCGGCTGCAGCGCCGCTTTCACGGGACACTCGCCGGAAAGGAAGTGCCCACTCAGCACGTGCTGTTGGTTATGTGACACCACCATTGCCGCAAGAAGCCGCAAGAAGCCACAGAAAAAAAGGTGCACTGGCAAAAAAAGGTTCACAATCAATGGGCACACCACCATGCCACACCACGGCACACCATGCCACACCACTCCACACCACACACTCACACACACAGCGAAAAAAAGAATTAGGCGAAAGAAAAACTTCTTTCTGGCCAATTTACTTTGGCTCTCTTTCCCTCTGTCTCTGTCCCTCTCTCTGCTTGCTGCTTTTGCTTTGCTGCCGCTTCGCTGCTGCTTGCTGCTGCTGCTTGCTGCTGCCGCTGCTGCTGCTGCTGCTTCTTGGCTGCTTGTGGCTGGAGTTTCAGGCTCGACTGGATGGACAGGGATCCTTGGCGGTGCTGCTCTGGCGCTCGCTGCAAACGGTTTGAAAGCTCGACGACGACTGATTCTTGGCCCGAGCCATCGTGCACCACGAAGCGAAGATGCCAGTGGGGCAGCGACGCCAACGCCAACGCCACTTGCCACTTGCCACTCGGCCGTCGGTCGTCGGCAGTCGGCAGTCGGCAGTCGGTTGTCGATAGTCGGTTTCAGTTGTCGGCAACTCCACTCCAGTTGCGTTGCCGCCGCAATTGGAACTTCCAGCTGGGCGCAGGCTCGGCTCGCTCGCTCTCTGTCGCTCCCCGTATCGTCGTCCCGCTCCTTCCACTCAGCTGTAGTCCTTCCCAAGTCGACAGTCCTTTCCAGAATACCCTTTCCATGTCCAACTAAATCACGCATCTGCTTCACTCCCAACAACAAGGTTTGACTGCACACAGCCGAGCCATTTGCACCTCCAAATCTGGTGCCATCGGTAGCTCATTTTTAACCCAGTAAGAATCTTCCTGACCTTCTACCACCAATTATCGCAATACCCCGCTTGGCAAGGGTATTCGAGACTTGGATGCCCTTCGTTGGGGCCGGCTTGTGGGTTCGTGGCGTCCAAAGGACGATTCGGGTCCTTTCGGATGCGGATTCGCTGGCTCGCCGCTTCCAGTTAGCGGTTATGGGCCTCGCTTCGCTTCTCCGTGCCGGCACTTTATGGCACCGGCATACATTGCGACCCTCGTCCACAGCCCCACAGCCCCTCTGGCCCAGCTGCTCCCACTCGCCGCACTTCGCGTCCGTCATTGTCGATTTTTCCCAACTCCTGTAGCCAACTTGCCGGACGAACTTGCTCTGGACTCCTGGCGCGTGGTCAGCTGTTGGCGCCGGCTTTCAGCGTCTGGGCAACTGCACAAGCAGGAATCCGAGTCGGAATCGGAATCGGAATCTGAATAGGAATCCGAGCAGGAATCGCAGGCAGACTAAGCGGCTCGACCATCGGACGGCGGGAAAGCGGAGCGCGACTGGAAGTCGGCTTAATGCCTATGAAGTTACGTAATTTCCCGAGCGGTCCCAGTTACTCAGCACGATCCCTATTCAGTCGAGGACGATTTATCCTAAGAGGTACATGCATATAAAGTGGATTTACTATATAAAGCTGAACCGTTTTGGTGCAACTATAGTTTGATATGCGTCTGTACAAACACACTTAAGTATATAAGTTTGTTTGGCTTAGTAAAAGTGTGATCACAATGCACACCGGCACTTGTGAAATCGCAAGCGGCTTTCAGTGATCCATTTGGGCTGGAAATGATGGCTGGAAGCGACCGGGAGCCTCCCCACCGACCATCTGATTTTCCACCGGTGGAACAGCTAGCTGGAAACAGCTGCCAGCGGCACAGGGGGTTATCGATTGGGCACTCGTCGCGAACTTCGGTTTGCCGGCTGTTCCATCGGACTGCGACTCGGGCAGGCGCTGTGCGCTGGTGAGCTGTGGGGAGCGGGATGGGGACATGGACTCGGGTGTACGAACAGCTGACTCTTGCTGCCGCCTGCGCTTGTGTGTGCTTGTGTAACGCTCAGCTGAGCGCGGGGCATCCAAGCGATGGATTTCGAACAGCTTGGTGGCATTGCCTCCTGCTGTGGCGCAAAGTTGGGGCTTGCGATGCAGATGCAGCTGCAGCTGCAGATGAAGACGCGGATGCAGTTCCAGCTGCGGATGCAACATGCAGCATGCAGAGCGGCTGCCTGGCTGATCATGAAGCACGAAGGCCCTGACCTACGACACACTCACTCATCCACACACCCACTGCGCCCGAGATTGTGGTACTCACCTGTCTGTTGGACGTGGACTAACTCTGCGGCTTAGACTGGCTGGAGCGGTTGCAACTTAACTAGCACACGCGGCATGGATGGAGCAAGTTGTTCGTAAACTGTTGATTACTTCGTTAACTCTATGGTCAGGCTTAGCACAAAATGGACACACGATTACGTTCGCGAAAAACGTTCTTAAATTTGTAGCACGAGCGGACGCGATTGGCAAAGGAATGGCGTTGAGTTAATCTGGTTGTATTGATTTCGATGGAAATTTCGGCTGGGGAAACTTCAAGTTTCCAAGGTGTCCGAACCGAAACCGAAATAAACTTTAGACGGATATTGATTTTTAACTGCTGTCACTGCCGCCGCGCTCTCTCTCTCTCTCTCTCTCTCTCTCTCTGTCTCTCTCTCTTTCTCGGCTTATGTCGCTATCTCTGTCGCAGTCACTGTCTCCGGCTGCTCTCTCCGGCCGTATTGTTGCTGGTGGGGCTGTGGGAGCACCCCCACTGGGCCTAATTGATTGATTGGCGCTGGTTCGGGCGCTGGCATTTAGTAATTCGCACTTGGCACTATTCGCTGCAGATTTCCCTGAATTTCGTGGATTTTTCGCTTGGTTTTCTCGCTACTCGGGGCTTCCGCAACTCTCCTGTCGCACTGCTGTTGACTGGGGGTCTTGACAATGATTCCGATTCTGTTTCTGTGTTTCTGTGTTTCGGATTGTGAATCTGAGTCTGAGCCTGAGTCTCCTGGCTTCTCTGCTATTGCGCCTGTCGTTCCCGTTACCGTTACCGCTAGGCGACCGTTACCGTTAGCACTTCCACGCCACACACCACACACCGCACACCACCCACCACCGAAGCTCACACACCTCCTCTTCCACGGAAAACACACTAACACAGTGAGGAGTCGGTTCGCCTTCGGCTCGCCTTCGGCCGCGCCTTCCGCTCGCTCTTGCTCGTTCTGGCACACTGGAAGAGGCGGTCGCGTCCGTTCGGCTCGCAAAACATGTGACAGAGCCGCCGCACTTCCAGCGACGCATGCGCACTTCCAACCCGCAGCAGCCGACAGCTGGCGAAGCGGAGCCGAACAGCTGATTGCCGCCAGCCAGAGTGACGACATCGAAAGGGGCGCGAAAGGGGCGCGAAAGGGGCGAAAGTTGCGAAAGGGGCTGGCCTGCAGCGGGAAAAGTGGGCCCACAAACGAGGGAGGGGGAGGATTGGTGCTGGCCTAACTCAGACGTCGCCGGTCGCCAAAGCCATGGAAAGGAGCGTCTGATGCCGTCGGGAAATGCGAAGAATGCAAATGCGGACGGATATAGATTGGCTATGGATAAGTTTGCGTTTGCGGAAATGAAAATATAAACTACTACGGCCAACTTTTCCCACTGGAAATGCACGAAGAAATAGGAGAGGCTTAAATGATATACGAGGAGTTGGGCTTTACCATAAATCCTCTGAATAACAAAATAGCCCTTTAAAGACTGTCTACAAAGAATCGCTTTTACAGGAAAACAATGTGGTTTTACAAAAGTGGTGGTATGTCCGCTAGGTACAACGGAGAAAGGACCCTTTTACATGACCTTTGCACTCCTGTGGTGTTGTTACTTGAATATTATGCTTATACAACGAGAAAACCTTTTTAAAATATCGATTTCTTTCCTACACATGTTCTACATGTGCAACTCAATCCACGCTTAACGGGGCAATTCTGTTTTGGCTGCGGTCGCTTTGGAGCCAAGTTAGTAAAGTGGCCAAAACTTTTCCGGCGAAATTCCTTACATTTCGGCTCGTCTCTGGCTTCTTCAGCCGCCGCCGCAACCCCCTCCGAACCGCGGAGCCCGAGGACCCCAGAATTGGCAGACACGTAACAAAAGCGACAGGAAGAAAGGCGGGATTGGGAGCGGACCCAGTGCGGCCACGCCCATTTCTATTCAAGCAAAGTCCCACATTTCCAGTGCCGCAGACCAAAAGAAAGTCAAACAGCGGCAGAGACACCAACAACAACAACAGCAACAGCCCTTACAAAATAAAAAGGCAAAAAATAAAAAAAAATGTATTTTCTCAAATCCGTCAAAAAGTGATAGGGATGGTTAGCTTTCGTAATTAGCTGCTTAAAACTGTTATTTTTTCAACTTTGTGATCATTTTTATGGAAGTTGAGATGAAAATGCCCATCGAAAATATCGAATATTTGCCAAAAGTCGTTTTTCCGATTTTCCGACATAAAATAATCCGTTTTTTGGCCACAACTTTAAAAATAATTGTCTGAATATGGATTGGCATACCTCGTTGAGATCGTATTTAAATTTCCAATCAAACTGTATCCAAAACTAAAAATTAAATTTTTTTGACATTTTTTGCAAATTTTGTTGATGTCACCCCCACAAAAAAAGGAAAAAAATTACAAAAAAAATGATTTTCCCAAATACGTCAAAAAGTGATAGGGATAGTTAGCGTTGGTAATTAGCTGCTCAAAACTGTTATTCTTTCAACTTTGTGATCATTTTTTTGGAAGTTGTGATGAAAATGCCCATCGAAAATATCGAATATTTGCCAAAAGTCGTTTTTCCGATTTTCCGACATAAAATAATCCGTTTTTTGGCCACAACTTTAAAAATAATTGTCTGAATATGGATTGGCATACCTCGTTGAGATCGTATTTAAATTTCCAATCAAACTGTATCCAAAACTAAAAATTAAATTTTTTTGACATTTTTTGCAAATTTTGTTGATGTCACCCCCACAAAAAAAGGAAAAAAATTACAAAGAAATTAATTTTCCCAAATACGGCAAAAAGTGATAGGGATAGTTAGCGTTGGTAATTAGCTGCTCAAAACTGTTATTCTTTCAACTTTGTGATCATTTTTTTGGAAGTTGTGATGAAAATGCCCATCGAAAATATCGAATATTTGCCAAAAGTCGTTTTTCCGATTTTCCGACATAAAATAATCCGTTTTTTGGCCACAACTTTAAAAATAATTGTCTGAATATGGATTAGCATACCTCGTTGAGGTCGTATTTAAATTTCCAATCAAACTGTATCCAAAACTAAAAATTAAATGTTTTTGACATTTTTTGCAAATTTTGTTGATGTCACCCCCACAAAAAAAGGAAAAAAATTACAAAAAAATTGA